CAAGATATTTTTAATTGAACATCTCTGACTTCTTGCTGCTGCCGATACCGAGGCCCCACGAAAAGAATGGGCCTTAAAAATGGCAACATCAATGCCTGACAATTGTAACACTGTCTTTAGCCATCTAGCAATAGTGCTTGATGTAACTGCATTAAATGTTACATATGAAATTAATAATTGATCAGATAGTCTCAACTGTTCCGTTACTTTGATATAATATAATAATGTATGATATACACACAAACTTTCTTTCCTAAAATGCTCAAATTTAACACAAAAATTATTTTCTTTTCCCACGACTGAAGTCTTCAATAGATTCGGGAAATAAAACACACAATAAGAATTATGTACCTTCATATAATTCAAATCAAGTGACATAATTGTCTGAGCTCTAGGAGCACATGCCAACGCTATAAGTGCCGTAACTTTTAAAGTTAAAAACTTTTTTAAGCAAATCTTCAACTTCAGAATCTATAATACTCATTTCTTCTGTATTAAAATTGATTTCCTTTGGTAAAGAATATTGCACAGGATAAACATCAAATTCTAATGAATAACCCTGAACAGTACTCAAAACCCAAGGGTCATTAGAAAACTTTTCCCATTCATGAATAAAGTATCTTAACTTACCTACCGAACTTATTTCTCCCCGTTTGGGGGTGCCGTCACAGTGGCGGACTTAAATGTTCCCTTCCTCATGGGAGCTCTCTGGGAATAACCACCCCGCACCTGTGGATAAGGTGTCATTCTTCCTCTGTTAAAATGCCTTGCTCTAGAAAAACGACCTCTGAAAGAATTCCTATTATACTGTGCGTTATAATCCTTTCCCAGATTAACCCCTACTTCACAATGCTTAATCTCTTTAGAAATATCGTCACCAAAAAGAGAGGTTGAAATAGGGACAGACATGTTACACAAATTTTTATACCTCTTGTTCAATGATGGACGAATCAAATATCTACGTCTGATACTAATGTTATACTGTGCTTGTCCAAGAATTGACAAAGAATCAGATAGTAACTGTTTAGCCTGTGGTTTAGCAGAAATAGAGGTCTTCAAAATCTTAGCCAGCTTAATAATGGGCACTGATGGAATTTACAGGACTGAATATCCTGAAATAGACGGTCATGAGACCAAGAACGTTTATCCATAACCTTCCAAATTTCCATGTTCACCATTGGAGGATTCAACTTCTCACAGTTAGCTGGTACAGGATATTTATCACAAAGTTCATCACTGTCACAAAGTGCGGTGCAGGCAGTATTAATGAGTTTAGCTAAGGAGGAAGAAATTGCCTCACCTTTATTTCTCTGCTTAATTTTAGGCAGGCCCCAATCTTCATCATCACTAACATGGGACACATCGTCCTCTCCAAACATGGAATCAATCAGCCTTTTAGTCATATCTCGACTTCTAGCATGCCTTGCAGGTCTGTGGCCAATACTGTCATCGCTATCTAAAAAATCATTTTCAACTTCAATTTGCATATTAGGTGCTCGGGCCAAATCAACATACTCATTTTCCATATCACTTTGTTCCATAGAAAAAGTGTTAGAATCCTGTGGAGCAGGAAGCCCCAATTTACTACGTAACAACTCTAAATCATCAGAGGATAATTTATTCAAATCAATCAAACTTTTGTTAGCGTTCCTTGATTTTGTCCCCTTTTTATCACTAACAGAGGTCTTTGTTTTCTTAGATTTATCCACATTGGTCGATTTTTTACCAGTTTTCGCGACCTCTTGACCAACTTTTGACACTGAACTTTTAATTCTGCCAGGCCCTTTACCACGGCTCTTATTCTTAACGGGGACATCGTCCTCCGAAAATCCAGAAAACTCTGAACTCTCGTCAGAAAGATGTAACACATCTTCATTCTGAACAGATAAATTCCTATTTACCGAGACATCGTCTTCGGACTGGCTCATATTGAAAAAACAACAAAGTCTGGACAACGTCCTAGACAGAGCCAAAAATACTGTATAAGAAATAAAAATAACAAAATAATTTCACGTCAATTCACAAACTTACCGACAAACAAAAAGCCGAGAGCTGTAAATACAAAACAAACCCTCAAAAACTGCATAAGAAAACGAAAGTAAGCTAACACGTGTGGACTATTCAACGACGCCAGGAAAACTATGATTTCTGGGGTTGACATGGTCGCGTGCATGGTTTGGTCATGTTTTTTACGGTTTGTTGAAGGGGCGTTGTGGACTCGATGCGTTAGGATAACATGCTATTTATACATGTGAAAGCTGAGGCTTTATGAAAATACTGGCTATACTCGAATGCTTTCAGGTTATTATTTTTTTAGTTTTTATATACTGTGGGTAGCTTATATAGTCACGGGTACTCTGCACCTTATCTCGTTAAAATCAGTTTAATAACAGCAAAGTTTGAAGTTTCCATACGTGGTGTAACTACTTTCAATCCGTACTTACTCCGATGTTAATATTTATAGATAATAGCCGTGACATTCCGATTGATCGCCACACGATATACTTGAAAAGCCCTGTGCTATTTAAATTTGAATTTACTATTTAAGTACTATTAACATACTTTTTGGCGTTTCTTAAAAATGCTTTTGATTTTTAGTTTTCTGTTTTAATTTCCAAAAGTGGCTGATCGGTCGTTTCATTCTTTTGCGTCTGTTAATTTTTGGCAATTTAGTTGTGATAGTTATTCAGTATTTTGAATAAAAGTCAAATACTACTTTGTTGACATTATTTTTCATAAAGCCTTTGGCTTTCACATGTACAAATAGCATTTCATCTTGGTCGTATGAAAAACATCGCAAATTTAAAGGATTTAAATTACCCGCTAATAATCACGCATGCGCAATAAGACCATGTGATCAATACCGGAAATAGCGTGAGAAATCACTTTTTCATTTTGCGGCGTGGTGAATACATCGTGTTTTCTCTTTTCGACTGTTCGAATTTAATTTGATTCATTCTGGGTCTTTTGAGGTACATATTTTGTTAAATATTTTGTTATGTCGAAAGACGATACCCTAGATATACTCGCTTCGGGGAGTTCTTCTGAATTTGAAGGTTTTTCAGATTCTGATACGGTTCAAAATTATGAAAATGACAGGGGTAAACAACCTCTTGCCTCGACGTCTTCTGCTGGCAAGAAAAAGACTAAGGTTAAATCAGTTGTTGTTAAAGCTAAAAAAGGTAAGAAAAATAACAATTCTGAAAAAATTAAGAAAACATCTTCGGATGGAAAAAGGGGGCGTTCCTCGGACCCTCCTGTGGGTACTTCGGACCCAGGTAATATTTTAGATTTATCTAAACTCTCGGAGCATGATATAGAGAGTCTTAGGACTGCTCTAGGTATTATTCCACAAGAAAGAAATATTGATAATTCCTCTACATTTGATGAGAATAACAATTTATTATATGATGAGAATGTGGAAGATTCTGATTTTTACAGTGCCCATCCTAGAGATAATATTAGAGTTCAGGTTGATGCATGTGACATTTCAGATTATGAAGATGATTTTTCAACTTTTCATAATCAGGGCCCTAGGGACTTGAATAAGGATTTTCATACTGCTTTTGATTCAAGCACTGTTGTTGATGACGATGCTGGTTTTTCTTGGGATTTACCAAAGTGAAGGCCCCTGAGAGGGGTGATGCCATTTCTGACTCATTGTCAAAATTGATAAATACTGCTTGCACAGTACAGTGTGACACCGATTCTCTTTTCAATAGATATTCTGTTCCTTCAAATTGTGATTTGGCTACACCTCCTCTTGTTAATCAAGAAGTGTGGAGATTTTTGGATAAAAAAGGACACATGCAGGATAAGTCTTTAGTTGATATTCAGAACTTATTGAGTACAAGTTTTGTTCCAGTCATCAAGTTAATTGAGATGCTAAAGAAGAATAAGTCTTTAAATGAGGAGATGAAAACTTTGATTACAGACTTGATTACAGGCTTAGGCCAGGTGCAGTATAATATAAGTTTGCGCAGGAGGTATTATATAAGACCTTATCTTAAAAAGAAATACAGTCCTTTGTGTAATATGTCAGTGCCAATTACAACAAAGCTCTTCGGAGATGAAATTTCAAAAGAGGTGAAATCTTGTGAAAATATTTCCTTTTTGGGGAAAGACAATTTCCAAACTACAAATTTTAGAGGTGTGATGAGATCTAGAGGTAGATTTAGAGGAAGTCGTGGTTATGCAAATGCTGGAAACAATGTTTATGCTAGTTCTTATCAGCAGTCACAAGAATTTCGTCCATACCCTTATCCTATGAGAGGTAATTCTTTTAGAGGCAGCAACGCTGTAAGATCGAGAGCTCCTAGGAGACATCCCACTGCCACTGTAACATCTGATGCTGTGCGTGACCCAAACGAGAGAATTTAGTTGAGAAGGTAGGTGGTGTTGGTAAGACAAGATTTTGTTTAGACAATTGGTTAAAATTTACGAAGGATCCTTGGATCTTGGGTGCCATTACAGGTTATAAGATTGATTTTGTTTGTAAACCTTTTCAGAGCAGAGTTCCAGGAGAAATTCCATTTGCTTTTGGTCAAAAAGAAATTGTTGATTGTGAAGTTCAGGAACTTCTACATAAAGGTGCTATAATAGAGTCTAATATGGAGGATGATCAATTTATCTCAACAATTTTTATTGTTCCAAAGCCTAATAATCAATTTAGGCCAGTTATTAACTTAAAATTTTTGAATGAATTTGTTCAGTACAACCACTTTAAACAAGAAACATTCAATATTGTTTTAGATTTGTTGAAACAAAATGACTACATGACAAAAATAGATTTGTCTGATGCATACTTTTCTATTCCTATTCATCCATCTTATTGGAAATATCTTAAGTTTTCCTGGAACTCTACCTTGTATTCTTTTGTTTGTCTACCTTTTGGTTTAAAGATAGCACCGTATTTATTTACAAAGATTATGAAACCAGTTTTTGCTTGGTTTAGGCAACAAAATATTAGGTCATTTTATTATATAGATGATTCTATAAATATGGATCAATCAAAGATTGTTTGCGAAGGTAACAGTTGTAGGATTTTAGAAACTTTGCAAAGCCTTGGTTTTACTATTAATAGGAAAAAATCAGTATTGGTGCCCTGTCAGAGGATAGTTTTCTTTGGACATGTTATTGACACGGTCTGTTTTAAAGTTTTCCTTACTGATGAAAAAGTTGAAAAAATTATTAAAAAAGCTGGTAGTATACTAGAATGTGAATTAGTTGTTGTTAGAGAACTAGCTTCTTTTATTGGTTTGATCGTAAGTAGCTTCAATGCTATTTTGGAAGCTCCTTTGCACTATAGGGAGTTAGAAAGAGATAAAATTTGCGGACTAGGGTCCGATATGAATTTTGATAACAAGACTGTTCTATCTATTTTAGGCAGACAAGAAGTTATTTGGTGGTTCAATAATGTTAAGTTAAAAAATGGTAAGAGAATAAGGCCTGTTACTGTATCTAGACATTGTAGAACTGATGCATCGTTTGAAGGCTATGGGGGTATAGACATAGATAATAATATACATTGTAATGGAAGGTGGAGTTTAAGAGAATTAAATAATAGTATAAATTATTTGGAGCTCCTTGCTATTTTCTATTCTTTACAGGCTATGTTTGCTGAATGTAAGGATTTACATATACAGGTTCAGTCAGATAATACGACTGCTATAGCCTATATTAATAATTTTGGTGGTATGGAGTCCAGAGATTTGGATAATTTGTCAAAATTAATTTGGAAATGGTGTTTAGATAGAAATGTTTATATTTCTGCTGTTCATGTTCCTGGAAGATTAAATTCAGCAGATTTTTATTCCAGAAATTTTTCGGACTCCACTGAGTGGATGCTTAAAGATGATATTTTTCAGAGGTTATGTAAACATACTTTTATTCCTGATGTCGACCTTTTTGCCTCAAGGTTAAATAAACGTTTACCAAGATTTGTATCTTGGTTTCCTGAACCAGGTGCTTTAGCTGTTAATGCATTTGCTATTTCTTGGAGTAATTTCACTCCATATATTTTTCCACCATTTAACCTTATTGGGAAGGTAATTAATAAGATCATTACAGATGAAGTTGATAAGGCCTTAGTAGTTATCCCTTACTGGTTTACTCAAAGCTGGTTTCCCTTATTATTAGATATTTTATCTGATTTTCCTATTAGTATACCAAGGCATACAGACCTATTAGTGCTTCCGCACGACGGACAGAAACATCCTTTGTCAAAAAGAATGAAGATGGTTGGTGTTGTGTTGTCAGGAAAGCGTTCAAAGATACAGGACTTCCGGAAGAAATTGCAGGTTTCATATCTAACTCATGGTCTAAAGGTACACGTAAACAGTACACAAGTGCTTGGAGTAAGTGGTGTATTTGGAATTATCTCAGAGGTTCCAATCCACTTTGTGCCTCTACAATAAATATTCACAAGGCTATGTTAATTCAGACTTTATTTATTTTGGGAAATAAATGGTGTAAAAAAACTTTCTATGATAAATAGATTTATGAAAAGTGTTTTCATTCACAAACCAACAAAACCCAGATATTTTTTAACTTGGGATGTTTCCGTTGTTCTTGAATATTTAGGAAGTCTAATGCCTTTATCAAGTTTGTCGTTAAAATTGTTGACGTTTAAGACGTTGGCTTTGGTTGCGTTGGCTACAGCACCCAGAGCACAGACTTTGTGTGCTTTGAACTTAAATAACATGATAGTGGAACAACAGGCAGTTGTTTTTACTTTTTCCGATATTTTAAAGACTTCAAGGGCAGCACAATGTTATTCGCTAAAAGTGGAACATTTTAGTAATGAGAAGATTTGTGCTATGCATACGTTACTTTATTATATAAAAAGAACGTCTTCTTTAAGATTAAGTAGAAAGGTTTTTATTTCTTTTGTTTCGTATAAAGAGGTTACTACTTGTACTTTAGCCAGGTGGCTTCGAACAGTGCTTGATTTATCTGGTATAGATTCTAATATTTACAAAGCGCACTCTTATAGAGGTGCTTCTGCTTCGGCAGCTTATAACAAAGGTTGTTCCTTGAAGACAATTATTTCTCATGCTAATTGGAAATCGGACAAGAATTTTAAGAAGTTTTATTGTAGAAATATTGACAAAAATGTTCCTTATAGTAATGCCGTATTTGAGGCGTAAAATAAAATTATTTGTATGGTAAGCTGGAACGTCGAGATATGACCTATACTGTGTCAATGTGATGTAAATTTCGAGACAAACAAACAAATAAAATTTGTTTTGTATTATGTATGTTATATATTTTGTTGTCTTTAAAGATGCTATTTGTACATGTGAAAGCCAAAGGCTTTATGAAAAATAATGGACCCCCATCCAAGCTTTAGTGCAGGATGGAGGGCATTATTTGAGTAAAGCCGGAGGCTAAGCATGTACAAACCCTGCCCTTGATTAATTATATTAATAGCGTAATTATACCCTCCTCTGTTATTCGTAACAACAAAATATATTGTCTTTAAATTGTGATTTCTCACGCTATTTCCGGTATTGATCACGTGGTCTTATTGCGCATGCGTGATTATTGGCGGGTAATTTAAATCCTTTAAATTTGCGATGTTTTTCATACGACCAAGATGAAATGCTATTTGTACATGCTTAGCCTCCGGCTTTACTCAAATGATGCCATCCATCCTGCACTAAAGCTTGGATGGGGGTCCATTTTTGGTAAATATTTTACATTCACCGCTTCAAGTCATAAGCGGCTGCATGCTTTGAAATAGTTATTTAAAGGTTATAAAACCCGTGTTCAGAAACTTGATTAGACTGAGACACAATGTGCCTTTAGCATTCAGTACAGACTCGGCATTAATGGTGGAACCGTAGCGTGATTTAGTATTTTAAGGGTTGAATCGAGTGCAGAAAATATATGTTGTTTTTCTCACTAAATTTGTTCTTTTAATGACATTAAAAAATATTTATCCATTTTCTAATAATCATGTATATTTATCTGTTTGATAATAGTCATGTAAATTCCATCAGTACTTTAAGTACTTTGATTTCATATGTGACGTCAAAACGCGCACTGGCTAGACTGTGTCTCGCAAGAATTATTGTCTACGACAAAGGCTGCAACGTCGCAGAAACACAACGTCTGCGACACGTTTCATAAAACGGTCGTACGACGTTGTCGCAGACGTACGACACCGACAAAAAATTGTCGTAGACTACGACACGTTGATAAAACGGCCCCCAGCTTTAAAAGTGTTTAGCTGTGCTATTTATAATGTAAATAAGGTAATTCTTTATAGGTATTTCCTATTATCTTATGGCATGCCTAAACAAGTACATTAACGTTTTTAGCTTGACTTTTCTATGAAAAGGGGAGCTATCCTACTCGCCCCGGCGTCGGCGTTAGCGTCGGCGTTGGCGTCACACCTTGGTTAAGTTTTTCGTACCACCCCACTTTATTTCAGAAGTATTACAAGTATGGCTTTGAAACTTACCATACTTGTTCACCATCATAACCTCCATCTACAGACAAGAGTACATAACTCTGTCAAGGTTTTTGACAGAATTATGGCCCTTTTTTGACTTAGAAAGTGTATTGAGCTTGGTTAAGTTTTTTGTACCACCTCACTTTATTTCAAAACCATTGGAGGTATTGCTTTGAAACTGACCATACTTGTTTACCATCACGACCTTCATCAACAGACAAGAGGACATAACTCTGTCAAGGTTTTTGACAGAATTATGCCCCTTTTTGACTTAGAAAATACATTGAATATGGGTAAAATCCACTTATTGCCTTAACCCTTTGAGATATTGCTTTGAAACTTTTAATGCTATTTCACATCATTACCCCCATCTGTACGCAAGAGAAGGTAACTCTGTCAAGGATTTGTTTTAAAAATTAAGGCCTTTTATCGACTTAGAATCTTGGTTAAGTTTTTAGTACCAGTCCACTTTTTGACTGAACTGTTTGAGATATTAATTTGAAAGTTGGAATACTTGTTTACAATCATGATTCCCAAACATGTCCAGGAGAAGGTAATTCTGTCAAAGATTTTATTTGAATTATGGCCCTTAACTGTCAATGTTTTGTATTATAGGCAAGCACTAAAAAACTTAAAAAATCTAAAAAAATTCATTCCTATCCACTTGTTCACTTTACCATAAATTATGTCATATAAACATTGCTGTAATATTCAAGGGTATCAAACAACTAGTTCACTTTAAAAATACAGAGATTCTTGTATTGCCTTTTACTGCAAAAACTTTTTTTATTGGCAAGCAATAAAAAAGTCGAGCGCGCTGTCTTACGGACAGCTCTTGTTTTATCACCAATTTACATGTTGCAATTATACAATATAATTATGTTATAATCAAAAAGGTATTTAACTTAGGATTCACCTCGCATCTATATCATGTAGAAAACTTCCCAGTCTTGTAATTGTCTGTCACTCCTGTTGGCTCTGATAGATATTTTCATTTATTGATTCGCTGTGACCCATGTGATTGTAGAAAATTTCTCTCTCTGTTTCTTTTACCTCAAGTCCAGCATATATTGTTGAAACATAGTGCCGCATATCTGTTGCATTTATTGCATATTCAAGTCCTATCATATCAGAACATTTTCTCACGACTTCGCAAACATTTACTTGCTTCAAGGAATAACTGATCAAGCACTGAGTGTCTCATACAGCCAAGTTTAAAAGGTACTACTTCATGTCCAAATAACTATTATTCAGGACAATATTGAAATCTCCCTTCCTTTATTGTCCTACACCATGAGGTTAAAAAGGCACTACGTACTGTGCCATGCATGTCCAAATAGTTATCATTCTTGACAACATACATGTAATACTGATCTTCCAGCCCCTGTCTTTTACCAAGGGTGTTTAAAGATGCTTATCTGTGCCATTTATAATGTACAATGTAAATAAGGTTATTCTTTATAGGTATTCGTATTATCTTATGACATGCCTAAACAAGAACAATAACGTTTTTAGCACCAATTTACATGTTGCAATTATACAATATAATTATGTTATAACCAAAAAGGTATTTTAACTTCTAATTCCCCTCACATCTGTATCATGTAGAAAACTTCCCACTCTTGTAATTACCTGTCACCCCTGTGGGCTCTGATAGATATTTTTAACCAGGTTTTCCGAAGGAAAAAACTGGTTATTAGATTGAGGTATGTCGGCGGGCGGGCGGATGGGCGGACGGGCGGGCGGGTGAGCGGGCGGTCGTAAACAATTTCATCTGTGCGCAACTCCTTTTACATTTTTCAACAGATTTTGACCAAACTTTCACAGAAGCTTTGTAATCAAGTGCCCTGGTGCATATTGTTGGGGTTTTGCGATTGGATAATATTTGACCTAATTATAGCCCTTTGTTTTTTTTCCTTATATAGAATATATAGTGAACAATTTCTTCTGTGCGTAACTCCTTCTACATTTCTCAACGGATTTTGACCAAACTTTCACAGAAGCTTTGTAATCAAATGCCCTGGGGCACATTGTCGGGGTTTTGCGATTGGATAATATTTGACCTAATTATGGCCCTTTGTTTTTTTTCCCTATAAAGAATATATAGTGAACAATTTCTTCTGTGCACAACTCCTCCTACATTTCTCCAGGGATTTTGACCAAACTTTCACAGAACCTTTGTCACCTAGTGCCCTGGGGCATATTGTCGTGGTTTTGCGATTGGATAATATTTGACCTAATTATTTCCTTTTGTTTTTTTCCCTTATATAGAATATATAGTGAACAATTTCGTCTGGGCTGAACCCCCTCAACAATTCTCAACAGATTTTGTTCAAACTTTCACAGAAGCTTTGTCATCATGTGCCCTGGCGCATATTGTCAGGGTTTTGCGATTGGATAATATTTGACCTAATTATGGCCCTTTGTTTTTTTTCCTTATACAGAATATATAGTAAACAATTTCTATCGTGCGCAACTTCTCCTACATTTCTCGACGGATTTTGACCAAACTTTCACAGAAGCTTTGTTATCAAGTGCCCTAGTGCATATTGTCGGGGTTTTGTGATTGGATAATTTTTGACCTAATTATGGCCCTTTGTTTTTTTCCTTATACAGAATATATAGTGAACACTTCTTCAGTGGCAATTCCTCCAACATTATTCATGTTTTACATTGCACATAGTTACATTGTTTGTTGCTTGTATTTGTATTTCAAATACAACATATTTATCTACAATGGTGATAATTGAAAACCTGGTTTCATGGCATTGCCATGTTTCTTGTTATTTATTGATTCGCTGTGACCCATGTGATTGTAGAAAATTTCTCTCTCTGTTTCTTTTACCTCAAGTCCAGCATATATTGTTGAAACATAGTGCCGCATATCTGTTGCATTAATTGCATGTTCAAGTCCTGTCATATCAGAACATTTTTTCACGGCTTCCCAATCATTTACTT